TTTGACACACATTTTATTACGAATTGTTATATTTGAGTAATTTAAAAACTTGCAGTGTGAGCAAGTTTAGTGCCATCGTCAAATAACAACCAAGTCGGAACCTAGCTAAAAAAACTGGATTGCGCGGCGTTACGTCGGCTTTGCGTTTCGTCACTACTGTCACATGACCCACGCTTGAAAACAGAGGAGTGTTTTTACTAAAATAAAGGCACAAAACGTTAGAATAAGGGTTTGAATCTCGGAATCCCAACCCCAGGTGCAATGGCTTGAAAAACTCAAAAGCTTTCTGCTATTAGATACAAATATACGCCAAAATTGTTCTGTGGGCTGCATGGAATGTATCCGCATGACAGGGTGTGAACCACCTTATCAAAAAACTCCCGACTTCGCTGACTTCTAGATCGTTGAAATGCGACCGCGGAACCGCCACATAGTGCAAATAGTTCACTGGTCCAATAGTTGAGAATACAAGAAATGCAGCAACAAGGAGAATACTAGGAGGAAAAACAAAACAACAATTTAGGAAAACGACTCATAAGCCCACTTCATGTTAATAAATAAGTTTCAGTGTTTATTTTCAATAAAGGTTAATATGATACTTGAAGACGAAAAATAAGCAAATATTTTGAAGTTTGAGTCGTCTGGCGAACTCGTTTAATATTCAATCATAGTTTTAGTTGTTTAATACAATTTTTGTTTATTGGGAACCGTTGCCATAGAGGCCACAAAAATATTTGTAAAAATAAATTAGTGTTATACCCTTCTAACGAAAAATACAATTTCTAACCAGTGGAAATTTTAAAGTAATTGGTCCACTAGTTGAGGAGATAACGATAAAAAGAAAATACCAAGAACAACTACAAAACGATCCATATGTCCATTTCGCGTCCAATTAAGTCTAATTTACTTTTCTAATACGCATATACAGGGTGTCCATAAATATTCTCACCTTTATGTAGATGTAACAATCAAAAGTTTTTTTGTTTTATACACATTTCACTACAAACGACACTTTGTACACGCACTGCTAAGTAATGGCCTACAGTTTGAATGAATAAGAGAATCTTTCTGGCTGAGCATTGCCTACAAAATTCAGTACATCCTGTTGTTGAACTATGTATGTCTGAAAAAGTCTGACCTTGGTCATACGAAACGTTACAGAAATATATTTGTGTTATTGTGTAGCAAGACTCTTGAATCACTTAGGATAGTTATCTTTACTCTTGCTACAGCATCATTGCATTATATACATACGGATCCGCCGACACAAAAGCATAGAAGAAGGATAAGTAGTTGGTCTCGCAGAAACAAATCATTAACATCCTTAGTGAGTATGGTATTTTGTACGGTACTTCGGTGGTAATCGTTGGGGCATGAGGGCCAGAATAATCTCGCCCGAGTGTAAATGTGTTTGGTGCTGCTATTTTTTTGTTTCTGCAGTAGGTGCAATTCAAATGGCACTGATCATTGATTGATCCATAACTTACTCAGATTCGCCACAGGTGCATTTGAAATTTCTTTCCGCTTCAGAGTGATAGACAATCGCGGACAACTTGTCACATTCTTCCTTACCTCCAATTCTTTTTATTTTATTTTACTATTGTTAGTGATATTTACGCAGGATTCCATACGACGGCAAGTGAAATGTTACAATGAGATTAAATTACAACTATTACGTCATAATGTGATTAGGAAACATCCATATCCGGATTGATGACATCAGTAAATTTGAACAATTGAATACAGAAGTTAACAATTATGTTTGACGCTGTTAAAAGTATTAGTAATTTTATTGACATAAACAAGTTATTTCTTGTAATGGTCAGTCAAGGCCTAGAAGATAGCACATTCGATGCTTGACCACAATTTGGTAACGATGGCGAAATCCGTATAGTAATATATTTTCCATCAGAAAATTGAAGGTTCGCAAGTCTACCCTTCCTTTTCGCCAAAAGTTGAACTATTTGGTTCAGATTTCTCCAATTTCCTATACACACGAGTACACGACAGAAGATAGTGACTACAATACAGTTAAATGAAACTCAAATACTGATCTGGCTAAACCTGACATGGGTAAACTACGTCCCGCGGGAAAATTCCGGCCAATTGGGTAAATCTATGTGGCCCGTCAGATTATGCCACGACCAAACTAAAACCAAATTTGGATGTTTTAGCTAAAGAATAGCTCAATGAATTTAGTTTTGACACGACGCCTATTGTTTTCCACTTTTGCTTTTGTAACACTGTAAATAAAATTCTGTTCATAAAATGTAAGATGCGTAATACATGAACACGGATACAGTATTCATAAACATCGGAGTAGAAATTTACAAATATGTGACATCCTCATATAAACATGGCGTTTTAGTACAAAATGTGACATCATAATACCCCGGTGAAACGCCAAGGGCCATTGTACATTGATTTATTTGTCGCGATAGTCCCTCGTTGGACTATAAATTACAACATATACCCAATGTGTTGGTGTGCAGCAGGACTCTTGAATTGCGTAGTATGATATGTTTCTTCCTGCTACAGCATCATTGCCTTATACGTATAAGGATCCACCATCGCAAAGGCATTGAGGAAGGATTGTGAGTTAGTCTCGCCTCGTGAAACCTCTACTGGTCGACATATTTTCCCAATACAGTTAGAGTATTGCCCAATGACTTTCTTTCACAACTTCAGTGAATACCTTCTGTTGTGATTTACGTAATATTTAATAATCTTATTTTTAAACACATTTAGCATGAATCAGCATTACGTTCTTTACACACGAGCAGTACAGTAATATAACGCCTAATCACACTTCGAAATGAGCACATAAATTTCCAGAGTTTGCAAAATCTCATTTATGTATAAATATGTATGTGTATTTGTTCTATTTTTATGCATCTATTTTACCTGCACATCCTTTATAAAAATAGCTTTTTCCGCCATTTTCCATGTTTGTTCATACAGTTTTTATGACATCATAATCTTGCCATATAACGCGAACAGTAATTCATGACTAATAATCGGTTCGATTTATGTACTGTGACGTACAATCAATGGAATTGGTAACCGCTAAACTCTGATAATATATGCCACAAACTTTGATTTCTCTTAGCGACATTTTCAATATTTCGCGCAATTTTTCGGTGAAAGGGCGCCTTTTAGTTGTGATGTAAAACTAGAAACGCCCCTTGAAGCAATACTTTGAAAAAAAGTGCAATTTTTATTGGTCCGCCAGTTAATATTACATTTAAATTTAGCTATGTGTAAGTCATTGCATATTTCAAGTCGTCTAAAAATGACAAAGCGTTCCTTTAGAACTGTATCAGTAATGAATAACTTTTGGCATTCAATTAAACGTCATTTAACTTTATAACAGCTTTTCTAAACTTACTGGACGCTTCTACGCTTGCCTCTAACTAGTAATTCACAAATCCAAAAAAACAAACAAATCAAGACAAAGTCTTTTGGCAAAAACTATGTTACAAAGTGTTGCGAATAATAGCGTTAGATTCATCGTAACTAAATTATTATGATGACACAACTATATATCGCACTATACAAATATCCCAAATTAGTGAACGCATCGATTTTTGAGTATTTATCTGTGGATACGAAAACGCTTTAATTTCTGTCCAGTCTACTGGTGGAACAACGGGTGAAATTAAAAGAAACACTCAGAAAAATGGAACCAAAGAGGCGGTAATTAAAATATGACATCATCTATAATCAGGAGCGCAGCCAGAATTTTCAAAAGGGAGGGTGGGGGATTCAAAATTGGAATCGGAAATTTCCGCGCAACATTCATCGGCTTTGCTCGTTTCTTTCCATTCTTTCTGAAAATTAAATGTAAGCAAGGGGATAATTAAATGTATATGTGTACATTATAACTTGGTTGATTTTTATGAAATGGCGCTGGGGCTAGCAATTGTTGACTATAAACTAGTAGGTATATACATTTGCTTTTATACCATATCCCACCTCATTACATTGGAAAAAAAAAATGTTGTTTTTTTGATATGTGCTATTATCATCACCATAATATGAAATATATTTTCTTGTAAAATACTCGCAACTTGTTGAATTATCAAAAATCACAGTTAAATTATCCGCAACTTTTCAAAAGTATCCTTTCAAAGTGACAAGGCTTGTCAATCATTCTGGGAATATATCATAGGTTATGGTGACGTCATTGGATGACGCATTGTTAAGGAATAGAATCATAAGCGGAAATGACAGTGAAATAAGAAGGCCAATAAAAAGCTGGATCAGCACTCAGTTCAAAAGCATAAGGAAAGCGAAGTTTCGGTACAGAGTATTGAAATAGTCAGAGCCATATTGGTTGGGCGAAAAGAAGAAGCTCATACCCGATTCAGTAAAATATCCAACTTTGTCGCCACGATTAGCAAAAGATGTAGAATATCTTATGAATAAAAGTAGATTCTAAACGAAAGACAAATGCCAGACGATTGTACTAACGAAGGTTCTATCAGTTGTGAAAAATAATTTTCTCATGTCCATTACGGAGGAATATTGAGATTCGTTCCCCGCAATTAACTTATAAATGAAAAGAGAATCAGAACGATAGACAAGTCATATTATATGGCCTACCAAACGATTGCAATAACCAGAATGCTATTAGTCGACAATAGTAGTAGTCGATAGTAGTTGAGTGCCCGCTGTTAGGATATTCCAAGATAACCAATCTTTGGTTCTCGCAATTAGCCAAAGATATAGAATTTCATAATAATTCTAAAGAGAATGTAAAATTATTCAGAGTTAAAAGGAAATCATTGAATAAGGCTTACGTTTTCTCGTTAAATGCATATTATTAACTTGAATATTATTAACATATTTAAGGGCATGGAATAGGCAGAGTTTGCGACAAGAGTTTTGATCAGTTTTGGCTTTTAGATTAGAATATGGCTTCAGTAGAGCAGAACCTAGATTTGAAAAGCTTCTTTATTATGCCATAAGACCTACTGAAAGATTCAAAAAAAATCGTGTTGATTTTCACAGTTTATTATTCAATATTATTGAACACAACATAAGTGTATTATTACAATATAACGTTTTATAAAGTTGAAAATAAAATGCTGATGCGGATACTGGTATTAGCCGCAGTATGCTTGGCCAATATTTCAGGTAAGAGAAATGCTATATTTGCAGCATGTGTAAACGCTATTTTAATTGTTAGTCTCAAAATCGAATGCAACAAGTCTGTCAAGTTTTAAAGTCTCTACCTGACTAACTGTTACTCCGACGTCGATTTGTCAACGTCATTATCGCAATCATATTTTTTTGTACAGATGTTTATTCACAGATCTTGTATCTAAATCTCCTTTACTCGTGATCTTGCCTTTCGCAAACGTGTAAGGCAATAGATCTAGTACATTTTAGCCAATGCGAACGTCGTGTGATGAAATGACATTTACTAAATTACAGGTCGAAGTCAGTAACATATGATAATCATTTATTAATTTACAGGTCACGAGATAGCAATAGATGAGCCATATGACATTTTCAAACAGCCAAGAGTCAACGAATTCCCGGATGAAAACGAAATAAACAATCGAGAAGGTAAACCTCAACTGAAAATTTCATATTTAATACCCCTCCCACCCAAACAGAAATACGGGAGCGCTCCTCATATTTAGTATACGTTTCCGCACCGCTCACCACACTGTTAAACACTCCTCCTGTTAGTACCAACAAAAGTATTTTTAGTACGCTGAAAAATAAACTAATGATTACCAAATGGCGCCTCTGACACTTATTTCGTCTATTTATTTTGAATTGCTATTTATCCCAAGTCAAATCGCCGATACTGACATCTCGTTTGCAAGAATGAATTTATAGTTGTTGGCGCGTCAGATGTCGCCTAAGAGCCTAATCATTATAATTTAATATCTAATACCTCCCATCAATTCACGCTTAAATGCCACTTTATTCTTGTTAGTACGAATTGCATTTCTGGTTGCGATCATCGCGATTGTTTGATATAAGTTCTTATATTCTCAGGCCAATCTCCCCTTTTCCCTCTATTATTGTAGACATAAATGAACGACATTATATGTCACCTTGGTAAAAAGTATAACAAAACTGTAAACAATAGAACGGTTACGGCTTCCTCCACTATCAAGTCCATGCATCTGGTACCAAATTACTGGCTAACTAATCCAATACCCGATATGGAATGGACTAGTAACCGGACGACAGACCGTGGTTCGTGATATGATTGCGCATTTTACTTTCGTGATTTTTATTCACAAAAAATAAGTGAATTAAAATGTTAATATTATTGGTTTTCGATTTTATTCTTACCCCTATTACTGGGAATCATAACTTTGAAAAGGATATTTGTGAACCTTGGCGTCGTTGATTAATTTGAGTTTAAAAATCACAGTTTTTTACAACCAACCAACTAACAAAGTCTCGCTGCAATCGGTATTTATGAACGCACAAATCGCTATAGTCTCATTAGCTTTTGTCACTTGACTTCGCTGAAAGTTCAGGCTTCTTTATTTTCGAGTAAGTGCTCCTGGCCTTGCTTTGAGCAAATTTTCTCTTAATAATACTAACAAATAGCTTCATTTTAGAGCACATAATTCGTTCCGTTGTCGATTGCCCGGATATAATTGACATCTCAATGTGTCCAAACAAATGCAAGGTAGATGAAGACCGAAAACAACAAAAACCATGTGGCTACATAAGCTGCGAATGTGTCCCGGATAAATTCTTTCAAGGCGATATGAAGATAGCATGTAAGTATGCGTAGATTTTACAATTTTGTTACACGTATTGGGGCTGAAGGGCGTACCCAGGGGGGGGGGGGGGGGGAAAGCATCTTTCTGTATCATGCATAGCAATTTTCCATAGCTTGAAACGCTTTTTAGACCTACAAGACTCAAGACTCATGAAAAAACGTTTTCCGGCGTTCAGCCCGACCCGTTAGCTGTTTCGATCTAACTTGGCAAATAGAAACTTCATTATTGTGGCGTCACACGTTTGTGTATTCACGTAATTTTAAAGCATTTTTGTGTGCGTCGCTGTACGCCACTCTCACCAAACCGCACAAAACCTTAGTAAACACGTACTTTATTAAAGAACGTTTTCCCCTTGTAATGCTATCAACTGTTTCCTAAATCCCTAATTAAATAAATCAAATAGGAAAGCATAATATTTTCTAAAGTAATTCACTTAACTCCATATTATGTTCTTTTACAATGTCAGTAGTTCTTACTATTTTAATGGTGGGCCTTAGCTCAGTGGTCATTCCGTTTAATTTCAGAGTGAGTTCTCGTGACCTTGCTTTGAGCAAATATTCTTATAAAAAGTATAAAAACTCCATATCGGTGGTTCTCGAACGTTTTAGGCCGCGCTCACCTTTTGGAATTTGTCAAGCGCCCAATAATAAGCTACAAGAAAAAATAGCAAGGCGAAAGAATTTTTTATTTGAAAAACACTTTGAAAATACGTGGATGGAACGTAAACATCCAAATTAAAGAAATGTAAATTTCCAAAATAATGCGGGCAAGATCGAATCTAACAAATATGTTTATTTATAAATAGCTTCACGCCCTTTAACCTACACCCTTGTTGAGCTTTCGACATTTTATTCGAGTTTGCGTGACCCTGTTTTGAACTAACATGCAGAAGTTATTCCAGCTCTCAATAAAATGAATCAGAATAATAAAAGAGTTAATTAAACAATATCATTGATTTATTTTACAGCGACCAACATGAGACTAGTGAACAGAATGTTTGGGTACGAAATCCCTGATGAACCATTGGCCCGAGGTTTAACCAGTAATGAGGAGTTTTACTGGCCAGGTTCAAGCGATGGAATGGTTTATATTCCTTATGTTCTCGATGGAAGTCTTCCAAGTGAGATTTTATATTCTACTTTTTTTAATTTTTTGTTTAATCGACATTTTAAATTGACAAACCTCTATACATGTAGATAAAGAAGTTATAAGTAGTTTCAAAAAAAAATTGCGTACTAGCAAATGGATGTTACTTGTAGATTTATAATAGGGGCAGAAATAAATTAAAACACGGGGCTCAAGAGATAACGGGAAAGAGATGATTTTTTGGTAAATACTACGTATAGGTAATTTAAATTCATTTGAAGACATTTGCAGGGATTTTATGTACGCTGGTGTTTAAGCCCTCGACGTGAGAGGCCATTCAAATTGCGTTTGAAATGATATAATCATTCTTACACCTATCTAAACTACGTCACGCTCCAGAAATACGACGTATACGCAACTTTTTAAAACAGTCGTTTACGTTTTTTGATAATACGTCAAAAACGTCTTTTATAATTTTGGCCGTATGTTGAGTTTGAAACAAACCGCTGATTCAGGTTAAATAATGACATCATAATTTGTGATGCATATCCTTTTTTGTGTGAAATAATGTATAAGCGCACGAGCGTTAGAAATAACAAACACTATGATTGTATTGATGTTAAAAAATACGCAAATGTTACTAATTATTTGAAGTATACAAATTCAGTGCCACTAGCAAAATACATTTTGCGCACGACGCACCACAGCACACAATTTACAAAAATATATAATCGCAAGATTCTAACGTAGCAGTCATCTTTAAATGAACGAAGACTATACCGAATGGATATGGTTTCAATAGCATTACCTATGTTACAAAAGTTAATAATAACTCTATTTTCGATTTTTACTAAAAAATATGCTGACGTCATTTTTTGATAGACTCAAACAGGAATATAGAAAATAAAAACTCAAATATCAAATAAATATTTGTCAAATATTGAATTACAAGTTGGCATTTGTTTCGATAAGGCACAACTTTTGATTTATTTTTTTCGACATTTCAAAAATACCGTGATACAGCTTAAAATTTCGAATACAGACTATATAAGTACTCTGTTGGAAATGGTAAGTTATTTCTAACCCCCACGCTTGACTACGACTAAAGTCTTACTAGATTTATTCAGGGTATTTGAAAATCGAATTGCAGACAAAATATTTATTTCATGCGGGCCAAGTCTAGCGTTCTAACACCGACTCTCAACTTCAAAAAAGATCAGACTGGGGACTCCATTTAAGAACTAATTGAAACTCGAATCTTTATTTGCAGGTGGACATAAAGAAATTATCATCGAAGCAATGGAACAATATCGTCAAAAAACTTGCATCAGATTTAGGAAACAAACCACAGAAAGGAACTATATAAACATTCTAAATAAAGGCGGGTGTTGGTCATATATTGGACGAGTGGGAGGCGGTCAACACGTAAGCATTTGATCTTTATACTCTTATAAATTGAACTTGGAATAATCCTATTTCGGACGAACTGTATCAAGAGCGTAAACAGTCTAAAAAATTATTTTTTCTAAGGCGCCTTCTATTCCACAAAAACAGCTATGGGAATATAATGGTGTTTGAAAGAAGCTATACACACATTTCGCACAACTATCTAGAATTTCTCTAAGTGCACCGTTTACGCATAAATGACTACTCTAATAAATTTCAATGCGAGGAATTACGAAATACATTTCTATAACGTTTCGTCTGACTAAAGTAACTCGCGTGGTGTGGTGTGCATTGTTTATAAATGCACATAACCGCATTTCTTGGAATAGTTGAATTACGTATGTCTGGGGAAGTCCAAATTTTGTCAGACGAAACATTACAGAAATAGAACTATGCATTTGCAACATGCTTATAAAGCGTAATACCGTTAAGATGACTTGGACATGACGTATCAACGTATAGGGAAAGAAACGTAATAATGATCTGATTACAGTGATCCGTAAAACTCAACGAAGAAATGCCAATTTTTCACTACCACACTACCCCGCGATACCTAACGATATCTTAAAGAAGCTCAACTGAGTTATTCCGCCGTCATCAAAAGGCCGGGAATCAGTGAATCGCTCACGAATGGTGCAGGCAATAAATCAAAGCAGTGTTGAAAAAAAATACGAGTTTATGTATCATTGCAAATGGCGCAAATCGCTTTTCAAAAGAACAGTATTCTATGGAAATTTTTTTTATGGAGCAGTAAGACTCAAAATAAACGCAATACAGGTAAAAATCATAATATGATACATTTATTTACTTTCCTTACATTTTCAGTTGTCACTTGGAACCAATTGCGGCCATCTTGGCGTCATTGAACACGAACTGATGCACGCTCTCGGGTTCTTCCATGAACAATCTCGCCCTGACAGGGATCAATACGTCCGCATCAAACACGAAAATATTCAGAGAGGTGAGTCGAATTTATAAATTTTGATTTTAGTTTACTTACCACCGACGGCCATAGAGGTGTCAGTGCGTTATATCAGAGCTTTTTGATCATTTTGGTGTAGCGGGACCCCAACGAAGTATTCAAGAGGTTCTAAGAACCGTGTGCAATTGGTTATATTTGTTTAACATAAAATGTGCCAACCAAAAAGTGAAGCAACATTCTGTCGCGGAACACCAAAAAGTCTTCCACGGAGCACTAATGATACACACTCATATGATTGCATTTTTCCGTGTATTTGATTACATTAAAGTAGTATATAATTAATAGCAGCACATGAGGTAGCAGGCACAGTAATTGAACTCAAGATGTTTAACCTGCTGTTAAGTCAACACACTTTAGTCCAACGTTTTACCTAGCAGGCCCGTGTCGTAAGCTGATTACATATTTATCACAATTACACATGATTCTATTTTCTTTGAAATTTGTTCTTGAACAGGGAGAGAAAAGAATTTCGACAAGCAAGATGCGTCGAAAGTAAGACCTTTGACCACAAAATATGATTTAGGATCTGTCATGCATTATAGCGAACTCGCTTTCAGTATGAATGGGAAAAAGACGATCGAAGTCATGTGAGTTGAATTCTGTATGTACATTTCAATCGTGTTTTTATTGTTTCAGTGAGTGCCAGTAGAAAGTCTCGTTGGGAGTAAAATAGGAATAAAGAAGGATAGGAACTCCAACACTGGGCCCCCATTTCCCATAGGAAACATTTCATTTCACTACTTAAGCTAATGCGTAGAAGAGTAAAAGTCAGTGATACCATCAATTTGAAAACCCAGCGTATTAGGGCGTACTTTAATTTTGAATATCATACACACTATAAAAACAAAGAGCACTATATATAGATATTGTCCCATTTTTTTACTTTGTATATAAATGTGCCATATAGCGGATTCGGTGAACTGTAGAGATGGTATAAATTTATAATATAAATTTTATTGAATTTGCTATTATCATTTAATAATTCATAATTATAGTGGAGGTACTACATCGGGAGTCAGAGTAGGACAAAGGGACGGATTTTCTGCGATTGATCTTCAAGAAATAAACGAAGCTTACTGTAAGTTTTTTTTTATTTATAATTATCCAATTAGCTTAGTTACGGTCGCGAGGGCAGAAAAATAGCTTCGCCAACGTGACACAGAGGCTAACCTAACACTCATCAGGATGTTTATATATGTATTTGCAATTCGTGTGAGTGTTGCATTGAATACGCTCCCATGCGCAAAGAGCAAAAACAATAATAAGAGTGAGCAATATCGTATATTATGTGACGTCATATTACCTAATCGTGATGTCATAATAACTCATTAGTTTTCAGGAAAGGCATTACGCAACTTCACCGCGGTGTATTGTTCCCAATTCGATACCGCCCGCCCTTGGCGGATCTCTATATTTCACCCTTCACAATGCACAAAAATTCTGTTTTGTTTATTGATTTGAAATTTAAATGGTCTTTGCTACCTTAATGCGCAGCACGCGTTCTGGTTATTGCACGACTTCAATAGTTCACGATGTTTCCAATAACTAACAACTAAATGATATTGTTGAAACAAAGCCGAATATGAATTAATATTCCCATATTTTCTCCCCCAAAACAACGAATTTTCCTCCAGGGAGAAGAATTCCTTAACGGCTTGGACGCTGCTTTAATGCTTGTGAATATAAAATCAACAAAACAACACATTTCCCCTATGGGGGTGAACTTCTTAACGACGAGAAAACGCTACTATAATGCTAGTGAAAAAAAAAACAAGATTGAGTGAGCATGAGAGATATAGTAAACTAACATAATAATGAAATTCAGGCAGCGGAAAAGTTGTTACGGCGGGACCAACAACTACCACAACAGTACGGACAACGAAAACAACACCAAGGCCCGTGGTGACAACTGGAACAGGAAGCAGTAAGTCAGGAAATTTTCGAAGTTCATTTATTTCCATCTTTTTGAGTTAGGACTGGGATATTCAAATTTCCACTTGTTGTATCATTTCAAAGTATAATCTGTGCCTATCGGGTGTCAAAAACTTTTAAAATTGCTAATCATTTATAATATTTTACTCCCAGCTAGCAAAGTTTTTTTTAAATCGAGTTTGGAATTCCTTTTGTTGGACAAAAGTAAAAATACTTCATGAACCTCTTTTATCCCCACTTGAATTTTTTTATTGTAAATCTCTTGTACAAATTTTGTTTATTATTTTTCAGAAATTCCATTCCAAATATGGTTTAGTTGCCCAAATTGATTAATTTATTCAAATCTCGAATAAATCAAGTTTAGAATTATTTTTGACGAGGATTCATAAATATGAAACTGAATACAAATCCACTAATTTATCCTCTACCCCGGCTCGCCTTTTTATCCTTTTGTAATTTTGTACACAATTCATTTTTTGTTTTCTAGTAATCTATTTTTTTTTACAGATTGCAAAGATTTGCAACCGCAGCCTGAGTAAGTGTAATTAATAATGACATAACGAATATTCAAAACTGCCCGTCTAAATTTAGTCAGAGAACTAAATAGTATTAGTAATACTACAGCAAATACAAAAAAAAATTACCCCTTCCCGAGGAGCAAAATCTTTCCTGGGGGGAGTCCATTCCGATTGGGAAATGTTGGCGCAAATTGTTCAAAAAAAACAAATTAACATAGAGTGCCTGATTTTTCTGTGAGATTAAATCTCCAACGTTTACGCTTTCAACTGTATCGTTGAGTAAGATACCCTGCGATAAGAAAGAACAGGTCACGGTTCCACAGTCTTTACCGTTATCACCGTTGGTTAAACCCTCTCTCAAGCAACATACAATATTTTTATAAATCGCTCACGCGCCCTCAATTAAAAATTGAAAGAGATAGATAAAAGAGTCGAAAACGACCAATACTGCATTAAGGATGATATGGCAATTCAGTGTCAGTGGGACCGAACTTAAAAAAGCATTCAATTGTGTATTCTCAGTCTTGTCCATGGGACATATTTTTCTATCACTTGGCAATGTATGGCTGCCACATCCCATACAACGGGAAGGAAATTCATTTTCATGAAAAGCCCTTTCGATATCCCCCTGCAAAAACAAATAATAGATACAAGAATATACGAAGGAAGAAGAAGAGTCAGATTCATTTATATGGCAAAAAAAGTATAAAAACGGAGGTTACTTCTGACATAATAAGGTTGCTCTGGTATGGATACTGTTCCATGAAAATACAAATATGTGCAGTCCTATTTCATGGGACGATCCCCAATTCCATAAACAAGCCTGGAGCTTCTCTTCATTAAAAATGTTTATTTTTAACAGTTGCATTCACTGGAAGAACCAAGGTTTCTGTCAACACACCCATGTTGATTACATGGAAGCATACTGTCCAGCTACCTGTGCGTTTTGCACTCCAACTACAACAGTCCGTAAGACAATATATCACATTATTTAATTTTGATGAAGTCGGCTCTTCATTTTGCTAATTGTCGAACATTTATATCACGAAGTTAAAGTTCAAGAAACTAACGATTTTGTACACTTGGTTGTCAAATTTAGATTTTTATTCTACAAATTAATCCTCAGTTTTTGTGTATTTATACTTTAATATAACTGAAATAGGCAATATAAGTTGATATGTGTGAGATTACGGAGGTCGTTAGAAATCATAATGAAACCACTTTCAAAAAGGTATTTATTAAAATTAACTTTCTTGTATTTTTAGCTGAGTGTAAAGACAAGATACCTTCGTGAGTAAAATATGACTTTTTTGTTAGAAAACTTGTGTTGCGTCTTCTCTAGCTTCAATCAAAATTTGCTCTAATCTTTAACTGTCCGTAAACACCTGGGTATAGTGAAGTAGTCGTTGGATATCTTTGGACACAAAATGGATAGTTTTGTTATCATGTTGTTGTCAAAACAATCGGGTTTCTCTCTAACTACTGGACCAATTACTTTGGATTTTCAGTGGCTACAGCCTGTTGTTGTTGCTAGGAGTAGCTATTATTTTATACATGTGTGGACTCCATGGGATTCGTTCCTCACATCGAAGTTATGCGTGATTACGTCATCACATCTCAGTGACCTGGCGGGCAGATTACCGTTACTGTATTTTGATACCACTTCGTTTTAGCTTTCGTGACTATGTATTTGAGCGTAGCTCTCTTCTATTTCAAAATCATGATGCTCGATCAAAAATATATTTATTGAATATAAGATTGAAATGAAGCTTTAAAATAGAAAAAGAACGGATTTATCTTTTCCCTAGAAAATCCGATAAATAAATGGCGGGCCTCGACCTCTTATTTGGTTGCTAGCCTGTATCCGTTGCGAGAAATAGTGAAGAAGTAAATTGTATATCAAGGACGAGGTCCAGTTACTCGGTATGCAAATCTATGCAGAATAATTAATCAAACTCGTGATGGCAAACTCATAAGGTCCAAACATCGATCTTTTTACGTATTCTTGCATTGACATTGCATTTAATTAAAGTGATATTCAATAACTTTGTTTAGATTGACATGCTATAAATTCAAACACTACTGCAAAAAATATGAAAAATGGATGGCAATAAATTGCGGCAAAACGTGCGAAGCATGTCTGAGTAAGTAAAATGTCTTACGTCCTGTTTCTGAATCTTCGTTTGTAAATTTTCAAAATCATTATGCGGATGGATGGCCTGACGTAGTGAGCTAGACCAGAGTTCCCTACCAGAGAGAACGACTTTCCCATAGATGAATATTGTAATTTGTGTGATGGTAATATTACTTCGTATTTGGGTAAAGTTTTACCGATATAGTTTATAGGTATATATAGGTAGTATATAGGTATTTAATATTACTGTAATAAAAAATTTTGGGCTTATTATATACTATTCAAAACTCAGTGTTACGACCTGACCACGCAAACCATGTCGATAAATGTTTTATAATATAATACCGACTTGTGTTTGACAGGCTCTGAAACCGCTACTACATCAACGAGAAGAGCATCGAGTACTCCAATGGCTACAAGAATTACAGGTTGGCTTTCTATTATTACTCCTTGTTTTAAAAAACAGCTATCTAGGAAAACTTGTGGGTTTGTGCCAATTGTTGGAATGTGTTGCTGAAATGTAACTCAGCTATTCATAGTCATTTTCTTTCTATTTTTCAATCCAAAAGTCCATTTTTCAGTCAGTTATATCACACAAAAATTAGAAATTTGTATCAAAAGTTACTAAAGATAAAGATGAACTACTAGCAACCAAAGTTGGATATATAGTAGTTTAACCCAAGGCCTAATTATTTGATTGAACTTGTTATATAACTTGCTGTTTGCAAAACTCAGTAATTAGACGTTAATTGCCGTTATATCAAGTGCGTCAACGAGCCGATCAAATCAATTTTTTCTGAGAAGTCACCAGTCTAAGTCGCAATTCTCGACCATTTGATTGAAACAATAATGAAATATTCGGTTAATGATATACTTGAATGCAATTATATTGAGAGCCATGAGGTCACGCGAAAATTTGCAAATCCTGATAAAGAGATTAATACATCATTTTTCTTCCACACAGATGCAAATTGCGGAAAACCAGTCATAACTGATAACTCTCATGCAAGAATTGTCAACGGTATGTTTTACTTATTGCATTCTAAACTTTAGAGTATGGAGTAGAGAAAGTTCATAATCCTCCATGTAAAGAGTATAAACCTTCACAAAGAAATGTTGGAATATACATAAAATTGCGGAAAAAACTTAAGCACACAGTCGGGAATATTAATTAGCAGGGAAAAGTTATTATCGGTCACTTCGGGAATGATAACCATTAACACGGCCCACTACAGATTATAATAAACAGTTACTGAACTCAGCTGATGGCTAGGGTAATTCTCGTTGAATTATATAAAGCAAAAAGGCTCCCGCTGTAATATCTACCATAGCTCCATATTTAAACATCTCAAATCAAACTTTATTCAGGCGACGAGGTGAAGGCAGGTACAATTCCATGGCAAGTGAGTCTTCGTTTTGGTCCTACGAGACAGCCGATCTGCGGAGGAAGCCTCATTAACAGGGAATGGGTTTTGACAGCCGCTCATTGCGTGTAAGTGAAACAATTCTTAATATTTATGTAATTTAAAAGTTTTGTTCGGACACCAACACAAATGTTTCTGTAACATTTGAGAGAGGTGTTTCTGTGCAGACTCTTGACTTGATTTATGTATAATATCTTACATTTCTAAACTATGCGAGTCTCTTGATTTGCATGGAATAACCATGCTCATTCTTAATACAGCATCCTTGCATTATACGTATATAGATCCTGAAATCCATTAGGGCAATGGTTCCCAGCATTTCTTCTTAAATTACCCCTTCGGTTATTTGGAATTCTGTTACACTTCCCCACTAAGCATAAAACAACGTTATATATTCAATCTTTAATGTATCCCTAGTTACTAATGCAAGTGCAGTTTTTGTACAGTTCATGTAGTTTATAATGCGCATACATAAGCAATGATGTATTAATAAAAAACTAAAGAATATTACTAATACTACAAAAAAATACAATGCAAAATGAACCACAAAATTCCTCTCTTGTTTTGAAACGTGGCATTAGCGTAAACGCTTAGAAGAAGAATAGCTAGTTCGTCCAGTATAACCTAACTCATGGTTATTGTAAGTGTTTTTTGTTTGTATAATTGCATGTCAAACTTTTGTCGCAGATTTTGAATCAAAATTTGATGACTTGACTCGATTTTATACTCGACTCGACTCGAAATTGAACGTAACCAACTGTAGATAGTCAATCACATTAAGAAACACTCCGATTGATTCCAGAGTCTTGAATATGAATAAGAATTTCCCCTCGTCGCTAAGAGTCATATGACCAGACCTTTATGATTTAATTTCTCTTTTTCAGCCCAAACCCAAAACACAAGAAGTATTATTCCGCCTACTTAGGACTCCATGAGAGAAAACCGAGCGAAAGTTCGGATATGGTGAAAAACGTTACGTTTTCCCATATAATCGTCCATGCTGGGTATGATGATAAAACCATGTACAATGATATTGCATTGATGAAGGTGAGACAACAGTTTTATTACACTATTGGGTGCTACCGTAGTATGGCGCACAACCTGAACCCGAACCTGGTACACATACTATT